AAAATGTACTGGTAAAAATAAAATAAGCCACTTTTGGGTTATGGCCTGAGAACACTAAGAAAATCTTATAGTACCAATAGGTAATCTTTTGCTTTTGCCTAAATTACAACTTTTAAAGCAACTGAAATCCAAACATCCTGACCTATTCTTCAAGAACACACATCACGTAAAACTCACTGATGACCGTGTCTTCACAATTTATATAAGACAACAGGGCTTGGCTGTCCCTAGCCACAGTTCTGTCTTCTGTCAGGCACGTTCTTCATGTCTCCAAATTCTACCTATTCCTCAAGTCTACAATTAAATGCTACCTCTTCCTGCAGTCTTCCCTGATCTCAAAGACTGAAACACTCTCTCATTCATTGCCATAGCAACTAAGTTACAGTAATGAATGTGCCTGCCCATGAATTCAAGCTTCTGTTGTCAGCATCAATTTATCTTCATCTGTACTGGGCCACTTTGTTCAGGACTGTGTACGCAATTTGAAGGGTGCTCAAATATTTGCTGAATTAAAATAAAAAGGATAAACACCTTATCTTAAAACCAGTCAACCAGGGCTCATGGAATTTTGTGAACTACATGGGCTTGTATGAATGAAATTATAAGAAGAGGAGCTGTGTCTAGAGAATCAGGCCTCAGCCACAGTGAGTGTCAAGAGCGGTATAGACACACAGCTTGATGTTAACTGAAATGTCAGCCTAACCTCGGCCAAGGTCAGAGCTTAGGTTCAAAGAAGTAACAGCAACAGAAGTGGTCAATTAGCACTTCAGGGTTAAAGGATGTCTTCTGAGGATCAAACTGTCCCTGGCCACAAATATTAACTTAATAGTCCTAAACAAAGGTGTGAAAATGTATGATGTTTATCTTAATTAAGGGGGGAGGGGCTACAAATATTTGACTCCCAAAGAGTATTCCAAAATGCCAAGAAATGGGAACAATACCACAATACCAAGAAATGGGAAACTATGTACTCTGTAACTTGGCTTACAGCTTGAGAAAAAAAGAAAAATCACTGGTCTGTTTAAAATCAGAATTTGCCCCTTGGTGCTTTGCTTCTGATTTCTGTTTCACAGGGTTTCATGTTCAATGTCAAATGGCCCTATCAAAGACTAATGGTGGTGAGTAAGGCCTGCTTTTCTAATTAAGAGCCACCAGTGTATTCTCAATCTCTTGTTACTTGGACGTAGTTTTTAATTTCTGGTGAATAGCAGGCATACCTGGCATTGGGGAGGTCCTATCGCAGATATCCTCTCTTGTAACTAATACAGAAATCAGGGTTATGATCATGTGACAGGAAATTGTAATCTCACCCCAATTAGCTGCTTACATTTTAAAAAACTGTAAGCTCAGATAGCTGTCCTGCTTCCCAACTGCTTAAAGCATTCATTTTTATCCATTCTTTGAACGAGAAATTCTTTGTCACTTTTCTGGTTCCCTCCATTAGCAAATTATTAACACATGGGATAAATTCAAGTTAAATAGATCTAAGAAATTTTGGGTTTTGACAGGTCATATGCAAGAAGATTCTAGGCAGCATGTAAAAAACACCAGATAGTTATGAACTTTTGTATGAAAAACAGTTTGTGTAAACCTATGACTTTATTGCTTAGGTCAAATCTGAGCAAAAACGAAACAAAAAACCTCAGCAGATTAAAAGACATAGTGTTAAGTAAAAAAAAGTTCAGTGGTTACAATGATAGGGTAAAGTCAGGAAAATGGGATACAAATTTAAAAGTTTAGGAAACATGAAAAAAGAATGAAGATGAAATTCATGTGGACTCCTGAAATTTTATAAAAGTGAGATTAGTCTTCTTGTTTTCAAGGCTCAGTCACATGAAAGAAGTTTATTGTCTGGCTCCTGACTTAATAATTTATGCGACAAAAGGCACAGCAGTAACTCTACTTCCGGTTCTCCACCAGCAGAGGAAGAGCTTGCTGCACCTCTGTGTGTCCTAATGTCAACTGCACTTTAACCAACAGGACAGGGACTGGTCCCCAGAAATTTCACAAGACCACACTGGAGCTTCCCAAGGCTCTAGCTCTTCCTGCTCTACAAGTTAGCCCTCAGCGAGCTTGTTCCCTCCCAAGGCTTCAGCTCCACGGATGCTTGCTAAATGACTCCTAACACTTTTCCCTACTCTGTTTTTCCCCTGTTCTCTATCCATCAATTATTTAACCTGGAAGCACTTCAAATACAACATGTCCAAAATCAAACTCGTTCTTGCCTCTTGAATCTTCTCTTTCTCTTCCTGTATGTCCATAAAAGTTTTGAATTCTTACCACCAATCCCAGGTATCCCAACGCTTCCCTTCCCTTCCAGAGATGCCCCTAAACTTCTCCCCTCTCTTCCACCTTCTTGGTGCTTGAGAATGCAGACCTCATTTTTCCCACATGACTGGTACTGGAGCTCCCTGACTGCTCCCTATATTTTGTCTCCCTGTCTCCGCTACAAATTTTTTCTCACATTGCCTCAAAACTAATATTCCTAAGATAAAAACTGAGTCTTAAAAGTCCTTACTCAGTTCAATATTATTAGCCACCAGAGAATAGAAATGAAAATTATAATGATATATCAAAGCACCAATCAGGGTGGCTAAAATAACAATAACACTAAATACTGGCAAGAATGCAGAAAAACTGGATCACTCGTATATTGCTGATGTACGAGTATAAAATATAAAACTGTACAGTCACTCTAGAAAAAAGTATTGATGTTTCTTGTAAAATTAAACATGCATTTATCATATGACATATGGGCACTTATTCACAGAAATGTAAATTTATATTCACGTGAAATCCTAAATACAAATGTTCAAAGCAGCTTTATGGTTATAGTTACAAACTAGAAATAACCCAAATGTCCCTCAACAGGTGAATGGTTAAACAATGATGGTTTATGGGGTTACCAATCACATGGAATACTACTCACAATAAAAAGAACTACTGATACAACAAATTAGATGAACCTCAGCAGAATTAGGCTGAGTGAAACAAGCTAGTCTCAAAGGTTATGTACATGATACCATTTATATAACAGCATTCTTAAGATGATGAAATTACAGCAATTGAGAGCAGATTTGAGGTTGCCAGAGATTGGGGAGTAGGGGAGGGAGGCACCATGGCTGTAACAGGTAGCATGAGAGATCTTTGTGATGGATCTGCTTCGTGTCTTGACTGCGATGGTGGTGACAACATGGAAAAAAAATGCACAGAAAACACACCACACAGAAATGCGTGCACATCAAACTGGTGAAATCTTAATAAGGTGGAGGGATTGCATCAATGCCAATCAATATTACATTGTGAAACTGTACTATTGTTATGCAAGATCCTACCATCAGAAGGAAGCTGGATAAAGTGCATATGGAATCACTGTGCTATTTTTTACAACTGCATATAGATCTAGAGTTATGTCAAAATAAAGTTTTAAAAAAAAATAATTCTAATCTTTCCCTAGTCTCCATAGGGAAGATTCTTCATACACGTCTTCTCTGCATATCCTGTACTACAGACAACAATTTCTAAGAGCTAACCTTTGCTGAGCACAGGGTCCATGTGGCAGCCACCCTTCTAAGCATTTGATATAAATTATTCATTTAATCCTGTGAGTTAGGTTGTAGTGTTAACACTATTTTATTCATAAACCAAGGCACAGATGTTATAAGTAGGCTGAAAGCTTCCTTATTTATTCTTCAAAACCCTGCTCCATTGTTAACTTCGTGACTTTTCCAGATTGAAGTATATTAACAAGTGTCTAGCACTCACAGGTATTCAATAAATATTTAGTTAACATAAGGTCTAGACAAAAGGACACAAACAAGTTGTTGCCCAACTTAGGAATCTGACACTGATTACACTTAAGTTACGTTTCTCCAAAACTAAGCCCTCAAAGGAAAGCATTCTATAATACACAGCAGGAACAGAAACACCCATTAGTGAGAAAGTGTTGATTAATAAAGCAAACAGCTTTCACTAGTCAAAGAGGAACAGGCAAGGTCCAGCTTGTGAAAACCTTGTGCCAACTGCCATGCCCACATCTTTCTCAGGTTTTCACCGAACAGATATGTGAACACAAGCCGCAGCTTCCTAAACCCCACCCCCCTCATCCTTCCCTATTAGTTAGGTTTATAATTCAAGTAAAAGCATAATGTTTATTTTAGAAGAAAATACTGCCTCCTGTTGAAAATATATACACACTATTTCCCCTGGAGGAAACAAGATTATCATCAAAAGGCTCCTTTAGATCTCAGGTAAATCAGTACATTTACCTGAAAAATGTACTGATTACCCTACCACGACTGACTTGCTCCAAGCACTCTCAGAACTCTGAAGAAGGCTCTCCAAAGGATTCGCATTTTCAGCACAGCCAAGAGAGACAGCGGGAAAAGCACTTTTGTTTAAGTACACGGATGAAGTTTAATGGTTCATATTTCCTCTGCTCCCTCCCAACCCATCTCTCACCCTCAACTTGGCTTCAGCAGGCACCAAAGGGGATTGTATAAGAGAACATAAAAAGAGAAACAGGGGTGGGGGATGACTGAGAGCCAATTTCTCCTCCTACATAAGTAACCGTCAATTTTTAAGAGTGACCTAAAGCCAGTCAAGAAAATAAATTTTCGGGCCTCCCTGGAGGCGCAAGGGGTTAAGCACCGCACTGTGAAGCAATCCACAGCCTCTGCAGCACAAGTTCGATCCCAGCCGGCCAGGGAGCTACCCACATGGTGCGGCAGACCTCTCCTGTCTCACCCACTGCTCCCCTCAGCAGTGTATTTCAGTCAGTCTGTCTGTTCTGCTCCCCACTCTGTCTCTGGTGAGTCCTCTCGCCCCACCCCGCATCTCTGGCCTGTGCCCCAGCTCTTGTATGCATAAATAAATAAATCTTTGAAAAAAAGAAAAGAAAAGAAAATTTCTTTATGTCTTTTCAATTATGTATCAAATGGAAAAAAGGAGTGGTGGAGCACAAGGAGATAAGAGAAGGGACCAAGAAAGGAAATACTAACCGGCCGAGTTCTCTTGTATCGGGAGTTCCCACCGTCCCTGTGCTGCCCCGGAGTGCTGGTTCTCTCTCTGGAACTTCTGTAGCCAGGACTGGGAATGATGTACTCTTTCCCTATGTCGATATCCTTCATTGTCTCTGGCTGGAGGTGCCAGGGGCTCACAGACTTTTGGCTTTACTTGAAAATTTCTGAAATTAAAAATTGATTAGGAACAGGTATTTCCTAATTCATGCTCAATCATATGTGTAAGAGCTTTAAAATAAGAAAAGGTGAAAAAATACTAAAGTTTCTGACTGTTAGAATTATAAAAATGTTTTTCAAAAACCATTTCACTTTTTAAAGAAAAAAAAATCCCATGTAATATAATCACCTCCTCCCAACCCAAAGGAAAAAAAGAGAGATTAGAAAAATAAATATGCTGGTAAACACCCTTTCAACCCAATGTACAGAGAATTTAGTTTTTAAAAAAGACTTTCTGAAAACAAGTCAGAACCAAGTATTACAAACCCCACAATTTTAAAATGGAATGTGATTTCTCCCATTAAATTTTACTAAATGAAAACTTAGAAAACACTTATTCTACCAATGATATATTCTTTTCCTGAATTTTTATAACTAGGTATGGGGTTAGCTGATGTTATTTTGAAGCTCCTCAAAGTTGCATAGCTAAAATAGAAAACCACATTATACCTTAACTTTAAAAGCAAATTCTCTTTGGGGCGCTCAAAGTGTTCTAAAGTTAGACAGTGGTGATGGGCACACGAGGTAACTACACAAACAAAGCACTAAATTTACACTATAAAAGGGTGAATTTTGAGGTATATAAACTGTGTCTCAATAAAGCTACTATTAAAAACCAATTACACAAACAAATTGCCCATGCTGTACTATTAAGTCCTATGTAGCATCTACCTGAAACTATTTGGCACCCCTGCTTGCCAGGCTAACTCTAGTCAATACCCTGTATCGACTGTGGTTGCTTTTGAGAAAATAGAACACATACACACACCTCTCACAAACATTTCTCCAACTCTAAGATGGCTCAGTTTCCCAGATCAGGCTAAAACAACACCTTTCATATCAGCTTCACCAGAAATTAAAGAAGTGTAGCTGTGCTGCCTTTTGGATTCCATAAATTCCTGGCTATCTCTGTGACTTAAAAGTACTACTTCTGCAAACAAAATTCTGATAGCTACAATTCTCCTATTTGAGGTGTCAGAGAAAAAGTATCAGAGAAAACTATTCCTCTAGATAAAAAGAACTAAATGTCCTCTGTATAGATGTGTTTCCAGCAGAAGGAAAGGGTAGTTTCTTGCATTTCTTTCTACTGGGTTGAAATACCCAGAAATGATTCTGCTAAATTACTTTTTAAAAGTCACCTTGTTCAATGACAAACTGCACCATAAACACAGGCTTACAACCAAGAGCACAGCAATCGCGTCATTGAGACCTCATTAAGCCTAAACTATAAACAGACCTGGCATCTGCCAGTGCTCTAAATGTCAGGGATTTAGCTGCAGAGCAGGACAATCCTTGTTGTTACAGGGATCGCAGGCACCCAACCTTCCCCTCCAAAGGTTCCCTGGCCAAGTTGATTATCTAGAAGTGGGAAAAATGAGTCCTACTTTGAAAAAGGCAGCAGGAGGAAAGAGGGAGTTTGAAGGGAAAGAGGGGGTTGAAGGTAACTCATTCATGTTACCAGATGCCACATCAAGCACATAAAGATCTTCTCAGTTGTCTAGGAACTCATGAAAATCAAAGTTTCTTTCACCCCCCTTATTTCAAGTTTATTCTATGCATGAAGGGTGTGAGCAGTTTTCCATTTCTTCTAACATTCCTGCTTCTTTAATTTCCTGGGAAAAGGGACACAGCCATGAGAGCAGGAAGGTCTTGAGCAGGCACACAGTTACTATCTCTTGGCCTTGAACACAAGGAAGATTCCTCTTTTGTGTATCAGAAATAAGAAAAGGCACCCAACACAGAGGTTGGCTGAGAGCTAGGAAGCTAGATAAGTTTTAGAAAAAACCAAGACCCAAATATGAAACAAGTCAACTAAAGAAGGATCACTGGATCCGACTTTTTTAGGTTACTCTTTGTATTTCCCTATTTTCTTCTGTTATCTCTTAAGCTCTCTTAAAAATTCTTTTTTAAATGTTTACTTGTCCCACTACCAAGAGAGTGATGAAAGGGAGGGCTTTTTCCTCCTCTTTGAGTCAGGGCTGCACCATGGCACTAGCAAGGTAATCAAAGCGAGAGAAGCCCAAAGAAGTGCTTCTCCTGTACCTGCATGGGGGAGGGAGGCTGCACAGAATTACAAGTACTACAACTAGCTAGACTGGTGTTTCTAAATTGCCTTCATGATAACGTTCCTTAGTAGGTTTCCAAGATCTCAGGAATCACCTTCCAGGCCCGCAAGCTGCAGGAGCAGACCTGAAGATAAAAGGGCAGTATTTACCTACGATCCACTTGTTGGGTCTCCAACCTTCTGCACCTTTCACTCAATGCAGGCGACGCCTGCATGACCTATTCATCCTCTCCTTTAAAATCTTCTAAAACTTTGCCTATGCCCTTCTGCCTCCCCACCTGTGCAGAAAGCAAACGACCACTGCCTAGTAACATGCAGCTGTGTGGTGAAAGTGAAGGACACTCACTGATGAAGTCGACAGAGCTGGGTTCCATTCCAGGTTCTGCCAAGGGTTTGCAGTTGCTGCTTATGTCACGACCTCCATTTACCCATTTGCAAAACGAAAGAATGACTTCTAAGTCATTGGCGGCTCCTTCCAGTGTGCAACTTGGGCAGAGGTGCCCCAGACTGTCCGCCCCATCACCTTGAGGATGGGAGCTTATCTCGGGCCACCTTTGCCTGGCATGCCCTGGCCCTAGGGCGTTCCCACCGCCAGTTAGGGCCTGGAGACGCGATAGAGACACACACCCATGGGCCGCGGGCGCAGCGCCCCCTGGTGGTCGAAGCCGGTAAAGTCGCCAGCACCTCCGCACCTCTCTGCACACGCACCTACCCCACCTGCCCTCTGAGGTCGGGACCTCACCGGAGATCACAAGGCTCCAATTACCAGGAGGGGGCTGCGGGACCCTAGAGGGAGGCCAAGCCGGGTTTCTCAGATCTCCGATCCCCCAAAATGTTCTTATCCCGGATCGCAGCCCGCCAGCCCAGGAGGAAACACATGGAGGTGAGCCCCCTGGCAACCCAGGGAGAAGGAAGGTGTGCGGCGATCGCAGCTACCTACCTGTGCCCCAGCTCTAGGACGGCCGCGCAGGCCACTCGACCACGCTTGCGAGCATCAGCCCGGGAGCAAAACAAGCCTTTATAGCGGCATTGGCCGCCAGACTACGCAGGCGTGCTGCACAAAGGCTCCCCAGGACTGCAGGGAATTGTAGTTCTGCGTCCAGGAGCCCGAGGCTCCATGCTAGGCAAAGGACTCTATTTCCCAGAAACGCTGTAGAGGCCCTGGAGGAGGTGCAGGCGGCTGCTTTCCAGCCGGCTCCTGCCTCTGCACCATCCTTCCCGGGGCTTCCACCCGCACTGTCTGGAAAATTCTGTGAGGCCGCGTGTCCCAGTAGGTGAATGGGGGGTGACAGTTGCCCTGTGTGAGGGGGCAGCCCTGTGGCGGGGTGGTCCCGACGGTCCCGACGGTGCGTGGCGGTTTATGCACCAGAAAACACCGTAAAGGTCACCCCAACTTCTACTTCCCTGAGACCAGGCGGCGCCACATCTTATCTGTTACAGAGCTTGACATTTTACGATTGCTTGCTCGGGACTCTGCATTCTGGGCTGATAACACCTTTCTCACTTTTATTCCACTACCCATTACATAATGGCATGCTCCCTGGTTTCCAGATAATAAAATGCTAGTGTCAGAGTTTCAGAGTGACAGAAAGCCTTAGAAATGGCTTACCAACTCATCCCTTTCTTTTTAATAAATGAATCCAACGTTTCCAAAGAGATTAAGTATTTTATTTATCTGTGTTTCATCTGTATCTTCATTGTGATCATGACATTACTACTCTGTTGAGTACCTACCTACTCTGTGGGTGGTGCTTTGCGTACAATTGTTTCTTTTAATCTCCATAACAAACCTATGTAGGTATGATAATTATCCATTTCAGAGATTTTTTTAGACCTGTATCATTTATACACACACACACATAATGCACCATCATTCATTTTCGTACAATGCATGCTTGTATACTTTCTCCTCTCAGGTGTAGTCCCCATAAAATTCCCACCACAATTCTTTCATGAGCCATCATCATAGTCCCTTGTGCTCTTCTCTCCCATTTTGATTCCTTTACCTCCACCTCCTTTGCAGAATGTCTCTGACTTATAGTTGCCTAATTTTGTTTTTTTATTATTGGTTTTTGCCCCCTAACCTCTTATTTGATTCCCCTATATTCCTCCTATAAGTGAAACCATCCAATATTTTCTTTTTTTTTTTCTGGCTTATTTCAGTGAGCATAATCCCTTCTGGCTCCATCCATGTGGCTTTGAATGGCATGAGTTTATCTTTTTTGATTGCTGAGAAACATTCCATTGTGTATATATACCACATCTTCTTAATCCAGTCATCTGTTTGGGGGCATTTTGGTTGTTTCCATAGTTTACCTATTGTAAATAGTGCCGCAATAGACATAGGGGTGCAGGTATCCTTTTGAATTAATGATTTTGTATCCTTTAGATAGATTCCTAGGAGTGGAATTGCTGGGTCATGTGGTAGCTCCATTTTCAGTAGTTTTGAGGAAACTCATCACAGCTTTCCATAGTGGTTGGGCCAGTTTGCACTCCCACAAATTAAAGAACAATTTGTCCATATTTAGTGGATTGGAAATAGGCTGTATTGTTAGACCCAACTAGATCCCTAAAATTCAGTGGTTTGAAGTCAAGAAGTTTGCCTCTCTCATACAAACAAGTCCCAAGTGAGTATACCAAGTCAACAGTGCAGTGTTGTTTCTGGCAGTAAATCAGAGACCCAGGATGATTGGTGTCTCAGCCAGATATGGCTTCCAAAGCTACTCCACCCATCACCTCCACCAGTCACCCAAGCAGAAGGAAGAAAAGAGACAGTATGGACAAGGTATGGCCTGGACTTAAGGTACTAGCCGGGGAGCAGCATACATCATTCACATTCTTTTTTTTTTTTAATAATTAAATGTATTTATTTTCTTACATCAGTGTTTATTTTTGTACAGGTGTAGTCCCCATAGTTCTCCCACCACCATAGCCCCCATGATCCATCACCATAGTCCTTTGCGCTCTTCCTTCCCCTGTTTTCACCCCTCTTCCTCCCTCTCCCCTGCTGTATGCCTCAGATCTATGATCACCTTGCAAGTTTTGTCTTTTTTCTGACCCTTTGTTTGGTTTCTATATATTCCACATGTAAGTGAACCCATATGATATTTATCTTTCTCCTTCTGGCTTATTTCACTTATTACAATCCCTTCTAGCTCCATCCACGTTGGTGCAAATGGCATTAGCTTGTCTTTTTTGATTGCTGAGTAGTATTCCATTGTGGATACATACCACATCTTGATTCATTCCTCTATTTTGGAGCATTTGGGTGGTTTCCATATCTTAGCTATTGTATGTAAATAGTGCTGCAATAAAAATTGGAGTGCAGTTTTCCTTTGGATTTGGTGTTTTTGTGTTCTTTGGGTAGATTCCTAGGAGTGGAATTGCTAGATCATAAGGTAGATCCATTGTTAGTGTGTTGAGGAAACTCCACACAGCTTTCCATAGAGGCTGGACCAGTTTACATTCCCACCAGCATGCACTCACATTCTTTTGGTGATCATGTAATCAGATGGACACATCTAACTGAGAGGGAAACCAGGAAGTATAGCCTTCAGCTGAGCAACTCTCAGTCACCTGCAACTTGCTACAATGAAAGAAGGAAAGAATGAATAGTGGTGGCAGCTCAAGGTGTCTACCACATATGCCTGCTCTCAAACCGAACGGTTCCCCTTCTCAAGTTAGGCTTTCAAGTGACCTTTCTCAAGGGGAGTTTCTGAAAGTGAATTTAGCCCTACACAAACTTATTTGAAAACTAGCTTCTCAATGCTCCCAAGGATAACACACAGTATCATTCTAGATGCCCCCAAGAGCAGTTATTCCATTACGTACAACGAGTACCTTAGGGTTAATGCCACCAGCGGAGATAAACTGCCTTAAGGGGCCTCCCACACATGTACACAAGGAGATATAATTTTTGTGAGTTATCTGTAATAGTGGAAAGAATCTGAATTCTATTCATGAAAGAATATAAAATAAAATAACAGTATTTGTACAATGGGATACTATATAATAGAGAACAAGAGCTGTAAGTCTCAGAAGCAGCAGTGAACAAAATGTGTTGTTTATGGACACATGCATATGCTTTTATTTTTATTTTTTTAATTTTATTTTATATATTTTTTACATCTTTTTCATTTTTGCACAATGTATGCATTTTCATCTTGGATATAGTCCCTATACAATTCCCACCCCCCCTTGTTTTGATCCTACTTCCTTCTCCACCCCTTGTAGGACACACGCATATATTTTTAAAAATATGAAACCACTCTGGGCGTGATAAACAACAAGTTCAAGGTGAAGTTACCTCCGGTGGGGGGAGAGTATAAGATCAGAGAGGAATACATAGGGATTTCATCTGTTTCTGTACAATTTTATTTCTTTAAAAAGTATAGCTTTTTATAACTTAAAACAGCAAAGCTTGGAGGTAGATACATGGGTACTTCTATCATTCACTATACTTTTTGGTAGCTTTTAGGTATTTCATAATAAAAAAGTTTAATATCATAGCAATAAACCATTTGTCCTCTTAAAGGGGATATGTATAATTTATGAGAGAATCTTGCATAGATAGATAGATATATAGACTTGTTCTTTAACTGCTATGTAGTATCCCACTGTAAAAATACCATAATCTAGTAATCTCTTCTATGGCATATATATATGTTTGTATATATATGTAAATGATATATATAAAATATAGGATATCAGTCTCTACTGATTAGAATTCCTAATGTGCCTTTGGCCATCCAAAAGGATAAGGATAATTTTTCCTCATCACACCTCAAACTGAAACATACTAGTACTTCCCAAGTACCCCCAAAAGCTGCATGTATGATGGCTTCATATAAAGTTAAGAGCTTTAAAATTCTACTTGAAACACTTCAAATATATCGATTATAGATTTAAGGGGAAAAATAGGATGCACAAACACCATGTGGCCCTGGCACAAGGCTTCCGCACTATGACACTGTCCCTGGCTGTCCAAGGATGACCTGGGCCAGTGACTTTCACTTAATTTATTTACATGATACTTACTGCAAAGTATCTCCTTGAAATGTGCTCATGTTGTGAAGTGTTTTGAAGGTGATATTCTCCAACCCTCAAGCAAGGGACTAGAAAATCTATATTGCAAAGCAGAGCTGTATGTATTTTAATGTAATACTTACATTGTCTAACTATACTCATTCCTTCCATGTTTGATGGAGGGACAATGGAACTAAATCAGACAAATTTTGTTTCCTCTTGGGGCTTGAGTCCCAGAGACACATTCATCCAGATTTAAATTATAATTGTGACAAGCTCTAGAGAAGGAAGGTGCTTGTTTCATCTGAAGGAGAGCAGAAGCAGGCAAGGTGAAAGAGGTGGAGATGACAAAAGTGGGCAAAGGAGAGCAACAAGCAGAGGGGTCCACAAAGTCCAGATGGTGGGAGAAGGTAGAGAACATCTCCAAAGGCCTTGGAGACTATGGTGCAGATTTTTAGAGTAAAAGTAAGATTTTATTTTTTTTAATAATTTTATTTTTTTAAATAAATTTTATTTTTATATTCCCCATACAATTGCAACCTCCTTATTTTGACCCCAATCCCTCCCCTCCCCGCCCCCCCCACCTCCCATAGAGTGTCTCTGGTTCATAGTTTTTTGTTGATTTTGATTTTCACTTTCTTATAGTTATTCATTTTCCTGGTCCCTTATTTAAGTTTTCTAGATTCCTGCTATGAGTGAGACCATCCGGTATTTTTCTTTTTCTTTCTGGCTTATTTCGCTGAGCATGATCCCTTCCAGGACCATCCATGTTGCTGCAAATTGCATGTGTTTATCTTTTTTGAATGCTGAGTAATATTCCATGGTGTATATGTACCACATCTTCTTGATCCAGTGATCTATTTTGGGCATTTGGGTTGTTTCCAAAGCTTAGCTGTTGTAG